GGTCAAACCAGAACATTTGGAGAACTATTAATAATCACACAGGGACAGGAGGCATTAACCAGGATGGTCCAGGGAAAACAGGAATGCCTGGTCACCCTACTGAACAATCGTTGCTTAACTTGAAATACCAGAAGCACCAATGTCAGACACTTGGGCATCAGCCGCGGGTTAGGGCCAAAGAGGGGCAGGTATATTTTTGAGAACACCTCAAGTCATGGGGCAACCCTAGGGCGTTGCGAGTCTGCGCATGGAGGCTTATAGGACATGCTCCGGAATGGGACTGCCTGGCTTTGCCCCTGCTTCTGCCTCTTACAGTCAGGCTGTGTGAGGCCAGGCATGTCAGCTAAACCCTCAGCTTCCCCATCCATGAATCCAACTTACCCCACAGAAGTGCTGGGAGGACAAGATGAGGCAATGCTGGCACAGAATAAATGCTCAGTAAACAGAGGCCGTTATTATTTTGCATGAGTTTAATGTTATTAATTAACTAGCCAGATGCTGAGAAGGGCAGACCTGGAGCCCCGGGACAGGACCCTGTCCAAGGGGTTTTGCACAAAGCTGGGGGAGCGAAGGCCGGGCTAAGGGACGGGTGGGCTGTGTGTGGGGTTCAGAGGTGCAGGCGTCCTTTCTGGCTCAGGTAGGGGCATCAGGTGGGCCTCCTGCGGAAGGTGACCTCTGTGCAGGGTCGTAGTCAAGTCCCTTTGGAAGACGAAGGTCATAGGGGGCTCCTGTTTCTAAAGAGCTTATGTGCCCCCTTTTCTTGATGTAACTACGGTTACGAAACAAAAGTTCACTAGATCTCTGCTTTGCATCTTGGTGACAACTTCCGTGCTGTCTTTGAGATGTCAGACATCACAGTGCCGAGCTCACATTGCATCTGCCTGGTGCTTTGTCGGGTTGCAGGGAACAGAAGCGCTCGAGCTTGCGGGGAAGGAGGATGGAAGAGGAGGCTTGGGGGCCGGGCGGGGCGGTGAACTGTGGATCGCAGGCGAGCAGGGCAGCCTGGCCTGGGCGCGGGAGGTGGGGGCTGGGCCCAGAGCCAGGGCTTCCTGAGAGTGGCTCTGAGCCTGGCAGCTTTAGCTCTTCCTCGGCGAGGACTCCTTTTCTGTTTTCTACAGACATGGCCGGACACAGTGGCCGCCCGCACTTGAGTTTATATTAACACATGTTCGGTTCAGAAACCACGGAGCATCTCTGATTCCCAAACCCAAATCCTGGGGAAAAAAGAATCTCACTGGTTGGCTCCAGTCACATGTCTGTCTCTTCATCCAATGAGCCTACGACCAAGGAAGGGGCGGTGGCACCCACAGGCAGAGCACTAACGGGTGGGGGCCGTGGCACATCTGCTGTAGATAGGTAATAGTTTGACACGCAGGAAAGGGAGAGGAGGGCACAGCGTGGCCACAGGCCCAGATTGGGGGAGTCAGGGCTTTGTGCGGAGGACACTGAGTGGCTAGGTCTGTGTCGGCCTTCCGGTGACTGCTCGAAGGGCAGCTCTGGTGGCCACATCCCTGCCCTGTGCGCCGTGCTGCAGACGCCGCCCAGAGATGAAAGTCACAGCAAGTCGACCGGCAGCGGGACCAGAGCTCAAACCCCCATTTCCTTTTTCCACCCAGGCTTGCTCTTCTCAGGCGTAGGAGGGAGCGGGGGTAGAGGAGCAGGGAGAATGAAATCAAGAAATAACAGGCTTCTCAGGAGCGGTAATGACATTTTAACTTGAAAATTGCAAGGAAATGTGGGGCTGCGGAGGCATATGCAAATTTCATGTAGATGAGATGCAAATCAGCCTGCTTGCTCCTGCCTGGCGCACCTGGATGTGGCTCAGTGACAAATCCTAACGGGCACCGAGTGGCTCTGTGATTGATTATCCAGGCCAGCTGGGATGACAACTGCACTTCTCTCCTGGGAGCTGGGGGAGAGGTGAGACTGTTTTTAGGCAGCCCTGAGCGCCCTCTGATGGGGGACCCTGAGACGTGGCCCTGCCTAGGTCAAGGATAGCAAATCTGGGAGGCATCTTTTACTCATATCCATACAGGCACCATGGCAGACATCCTTAATCAATCATAGAATTCTTTCCTACTGAGCCAATCAGGTGCTCTGGGCAGCCCCTACTAATCAAAGAAAGTTGGCATTCATCCATTCATTCATCTGACAAATTTTGTTAAGTTTCTTCCCTGTGCCAAGGCAGGCTCAGTTCTTGCTCTCACAAACTCACAATTTAGTAGGGGATATGAGCTTTAAGTAAAATATCGCAAAACGGCAATTGAGATACATGTTATTAAGGAGAATTACCTGGTTTTTAATAAAAGGAGGTTTTGACCACTTCAGCAAAGGCTGGCCCTGTTGCTGATAACTGAAGGAGAAGGAAGACTCAGCCGGTCGAAAACGTGGAGGAAGAACATTCCAGGCCTTGAGATAAGAAAGACCCTGTAGAGGTTATCACTACATGATTTTCCCCACGCACATGGTACTGGTAAATAAACATTCCTCTTATAAAAAAAAAAAGAAAGAAAGAAAAAAAGAAAGAGTGAGCTGTAGCAGACACTGTTAATGCTATACCCAGATTCCCTATGATCACTTTTTGTTTCTGTGCATCCGTACTCTGGCTTCTGTGTGTGTGTGTGTGTATGTGTGCGTGCTAAGCAACTTTGTTGAGATATAGTTCACATACCATACAATTCACCCATTTAAGTGTACAGTTTAATGATTTTTAGTATACTCACAGATGTATAATCATAACCACAGTCATGGAACACTTTTATTATCTCAAAAAGAAACCCTGTGCCCTTCAGGGGTCACCCCCATATTCCCCCACCTCTCCCATTCACCAGCCCCTGAGCAGCCACTATCCCTTTCTCTATGTATAGATTTACATATTCTGGATATTTCATAAATATGGAATCATATAATGTGTAGTCTCTTATGACTCTTCTTTCATAATGTTTATAAGGTCATCTATGTTGTTGCATCAATCAGTATTTCTCTCCTTAAATTATTTTAATTGTGCTAATATATATATATATATGTACATAGCATTTGCCATTTTAACTATTTTTAAGTGCACAACTCAGTGGCATTAATTACATTTGTAATGTGCAACCATCACCACTGTTTCCAAAGCTTTTTCATCACTCCAAACAGAAACTCTGTATCCATTTAGCAATAACTCCCACTCCCTTCTCCACCAAACCACTGGTAACCTCTAATTTACTTTGTGTCTCTATGAATTGCCTGTTGTAGATATTTCACATAATGAAATCACACACTATTGGTCCTTTTGTGTCTGGCTTATTTTACTTACTTAGTATAATGTTTTCAAGGATCATCCATGCTGTAGTGTGTATCAGAACTTTATTCTTTTTATATGGCTGAATAATATTCCATTGTATGTATTTTTCTATGTCTATTATATGTATGTATATAAAACAAAATGTGATATATATGTATATTTTGTTTATCCATTCATCTGTTGAGGAACATGGGTTATTTCCACCTTTTATCTCCTGTAAATAATGCTACAATGAACATTGGCATAGAAGTATCTGTTAGAGTCTCTGTTTTCCAATCTTTTGAATATATAACTAGGAATGGAATTGCTGGGTCATTCTATGTTTAACCTTTTGAGAAACTTCCAAACTGCTTTCCAAAGCAGCTGCACAATTTTGCATGGCCACCTACAGTGTATGAGGGTTCTGATTTCTCCACATCCTCACCGGCACTTGTTACATGTCTTTTGATTATAGCCACCCTAGTGGATGCGAAGTAATATCTCACTGTGGTTTTGTTTTACATTTCCCTGATGGCTAACAATGTCGAGCAGCTTTTCCCGTGCTCATTGGCCGCTTGTACGTCATCTTTGGAGAAATGCCTGTTCAGATGCTTTGTCCATTTTCAAACTTCATTATTATTTAGTTGTGTCAGCTTTTTATAGATTCTTGGTACAGAAGATTATACTCCCTGGGCCCATACCTACGACTCTCTTCCAAGGACTGCTCTTGGGCCACAGGACCCTGCTTTGTGCCACATGATTTTGCAGAGAGCCTGAAGTGCCTCAGAAGTATAAAATACTCTCTAGAAATCCCCATGGGATCAGGCAGGGCTGAGACTTGGTAAATTGCACCATAGCTTCCCTCCCTTCCCTGGCTGGCTTCCTTTCCTGGTTTCTCTAGTGATTGCCTCTTCAACGAATCACCTGCATCTCAATCCTCATGGCCAAGTCGGCTTCTGAGGAACTTGACCTCAGAATGAGCTCGGAATGGCTGAGGAGCTGAAAGCGAGTTAGTGTTGCTGCAACTCAGAAAGCATGTGGATTGGGGCGAGGCTAACGTGGAGTGCAGGGGCTGACCACGCAGGGCTTGGTCGAATGAAGGGAGGGTTGGGTTTTTTTTTATCTGTCGAGCTATGGGATGCTATTGGTCAGTATTAGGCAGAACTGGCATTATTTTACATTTTGCAAAGGCCCCTCTAGTTTCTGCATGGAGAAGAGACAAAGGGAGCCCAAGTGGCTGCAGGAAGACCACTGAGGATACTGTCACAGTTGTCTAGGGGAGAGAGGGTGGAGGCTGGAGTGAGGATGGGGAAGGTAGAGAGAGAAGTAGAAGACTAGAGAGAGGTCGGGGGGCAGATTTAGGGGTCAAAGGGAGGTTCCGGACGACTCGCAGTTTCCAGCCTAAATGTCTGGATGGACAGACAGTGCACAGGGAGGGAGGCAGTGCTGGGAGGGCAGCCCGGGAGTTCCACATGCAAAGCGACACCAATTTGCCTTCCCTGGTCTCGCCTAATCCTTCCATTTCACAGACAGGGAAACTGAGGCCTGAGGAGTGCGTTGGCTCACCCAGGACCCCCAACACTCCCCAGGCAGAGAGGAATGGCACCCCAGGGGTCCCGCTGCCTGGCCAGACACTTCCTCTGCAGGGGTTCACTGGCTCTGGCCTCAGAGAGCTATTCTTCAGCTGGGAGAGGGTGGGGTTGGGCCAGATGGATTTTTCCTGGGCCAGCTCACAACCCTGGAGAATAGAACATGCTTCGTGAGGTCAGACTGTGCCCTGCCCCCAGCCAGCTGCTCCACTGGGGGCTGGGTAACTAGAAAGCACAAGGTGTGGGGGACCCATCTCACGGTGGCCTACACATTTGTCCACTCTCCTGACTTTGGCATTGATCCAGAACCGGGTCCAGAGCCTGAGGTGTCCCCTTCGTGACCCCCTTCCTGGTTGTGTGACTTTGGGAAAGTCACCTCCCCTCTCCAGGCTTCGGTCTTCTCATCTGTGAAACAGGGACATCCCAGAATATGACATCTGTGCCCCTCGGGGTTGTAGTCAGTACCAGGCGAGGAAACGGATGGACAAATAAGTGCTTTGTAACCTGCGAGGTGCCTGGACCTCGGTGTGGGCTCGGTCCTTCCTCCAGCCCGGCAGACATTCGAAGCTTTGCTCCGTCACAAGATGCCTGCTCCTCTGGGGGAAGAAAGGCCCGGTGTGGAACTGAGGCATGCAGAGACATTCTCCTGACCCGGCGGGCTTGACAAATCCGCTGCACAGATGGGAAAACTGAGGGGCACCCATCTACCCAGAGGTGCTAGGCTGGGAAGCCTGGATTCAAATGCAGGGCTCTCTGATTCTCAAAGTGGAAAGTTCCTTATCCACCCCATGCCCCCATTGGACAGATGGGGCAAACTGAGCACTAGAGAGGGGAAACGACCTGCTAGGGGTCATCAGGGTGTTAGCAACAGGGCAGAAATGGCACCTGAGGTCCCCGACTCCAGGCTCTGCTCCTGCTGCCCCTTGACTACCAACCCCTTGAGCTTGAAAAAAGGACTCCCATCCAGTGGGACATTCACAGTCACGTCACTGGCAGGCTTGGGGCTCCTTGTAAGCCCATCTTTTTCCACCAGAGCAGGCTGCAAGTTTTGTTTTAAAATCCCATGGCGGGGCGCCGTGGCCTCTGCCTCCCCAGCTCGGCCTCTTGGGGGCTGAGGCTTTGCTGACTCAAAGCTACCTCGCCACCTGTTGGGGATCCCTGGGAGGGGAGGCCATGCCCTGCCCCCACCGTGGGGAGGTCAGAGCAAAAGCCGATAAATTAGGCCCAAGTCAAGTCCAGCTCTGCCCCTCACTGTGACACTGGGCAACCTCTCTGGGTCTCGGTTTCCTCCTCAGTAAAATGGGATGGGATCAATACCAGCTTCAGAGAGTTGCGAACAATCCAACAAGCTTCTAAAGGACTTAGCGCGAACGAAGCTAGGCACAAAGACGATGCAAAAGAAACGTGAGCTATTATTATCCACTATTTTTGAATATTGTTATTATTGTATTTCATTTTTATATCCCCTTCTCCCCCAGGGGATGCTGTGAGTAGACAGGATGTTGGGGTGCGGTTCTTTTTGGAGACAAAGGGATGCAAGTGACCCTCTGCCTGAGGATTCTTGGGTCACTCAGTGCCACCACAGCCGCCCTTCTCCCTAGCAGCAGATGTGGTCTCTCACAAGTCGCTTTCCATCCTTGCACCCCAGGTTCCCTGGCTCCCTGCCTGTGGTCCCCACTGGCTGGATGCTGTTGCTATGGCAACGGTATTTTAAGAGCTTCGGCCCCCCTCTGAGGCGACAGGCATGGATGGAGATGGGCTGATCAAACACCCCATGCCTCCTTGGGCCCGTCTGATGGAAGGCAGGGGAGTGGAGCGAGGCTCGCCTGGCCCGGGATGGGGACGGGGGCGGCCAGGCCCAGCCCCCCGTGTTTCCCAGCAGCACCCCCACCTCGCCAAGTCTCACAGGGGAACACCAGAGCGGTTGGCCACGAATGCAAGTTCTGGCCAGCCCCCGGGGGTGGGGTCCCCTGGGAAGTTGCCCTTTGATTGGCTCTGCTCACAGTTATCAGGCAGGCCCTCGAGCACACTTGGGGAAATCTTGAGTGTTGGAAGATTCCAGAAGCCATCTTGAGCACTGAGTGTGTAAGTGTGTGTGCTGCTCCAGGCCAGCCTCTCTCCCCTTCCACAGCCTCACGGTGGAGGACATGTGCCCCCAGCCTCCTCGCTGAGCCGGGAGGCTCTGGGCTGGGCCACCAGGAGGCCGTCTTTGCCGGGCTTCTGGAGGCAGAGGGTGGCAAGCTCAGCACGGTGACGCTCAGGGGAGGCGCTGGCAGGGGCTGCTCTCGGCCGTGTGGAAGGCGGGGCTGCCTCTGGACACGCAGGGAGGCTCCGCCCCACTGTCCCCGCCACCTGCTGAATGAGGCCAGTGCCCCTCCCCTGGCTCGGCCCCGGCCACCCACAGAACCCCAGTGGTGCTGGGCACCAGAGGCCGTGCCAACAGAGAGCCGGGGCTGGGGGCGGTGAGGGACCCGGGAACCTCAGGGGGGCAGGAGCTTCTCTCTGGAGAACAAGGACAAGATTCCACGGGGTTCCTCGAATCTGAGAATGACGGCCGTGCCCGCGGCAGGGGTCGGGTTTGGCAGAGTGCAGCGGCCACCTGCACCCGCTCACCCGTTTGCGCACACGACCCGGCCGCCGCCCCGGAGCCGACCTTGCCTGCGGCCCACAAGTGCCAACTCCGGCCTGGGGGACACGCACCCCGGCTCCCTCGGCCCTTGGGTGCGGCACCTCTGGAGTGTGTCCTCGTGTTCTGTGCTGTCTCCCGGTCCCCAGCAGGGCAGAGCTCCAGTTGCCTCCGCGGTAATTTGCTTGACAACATACTTACTGCGTCCCCAAAGTCACCTCCCTACCCCACCGCAGTGGATACCAGGATCTCCACCAAACACACTGACACCCGAACCCTGTCCCCGCGTCTGCTTCCGTGGAGCCCTAAGACAGGGGCCACTCCTGAATCTCCCCGCCCGCCCTTGGGCTCTGCGAGGGCACCTCGGGCCCAGAGGGAAGCCATGTGCTTTCCTGAGCCCCAGGGGTGTCCGGCCTGCCCGGGAGGGAGACCTCAGCAGGGCCTGTACCACCAGGGCTTCCCGCGGCCAGGCCCCAGGGCACCGGGCAACGGCCTGCTTACTGCGGCTCTGGCTCCCCCCTCGCACTGCGAGTGTGAGCGTCGGGTCCTCCAGGAGTTCTGGAACCTGGAGCAGGTCTCTGGTCCTCACCCTCCCGGCACAGGCCAAATGTAAATCCCGTGCTCACAGTGGCATCTCAGTGGGACTGGCCCCAGCTCCCAGCTCCCGGGGGGCTGGCACGGTTGAAGGGGGCTCCCTGCTAGAGGGGTACATGGGGACCGGTCTAAGGCGAGTCCTCCAGAGATGTCTGTGAGTCTGTCCCCTCCGAGGAGAAGCTGCCCCCAGTGGGGCGAGGGGCCAGGCTCTGCCTGGGAGGCCGCTGCCAGGAGAAGAGGGTGACGAGAGAACGCTCAGGGCCAGGGTCGGGGAGCGCGTGGTGGCCTGGGCCTTCAGCGGCCTCTATAGCCTGGCTGGCTTCCCGGAAACATCCGTTCTGCCCCACTCTGGTGGCCCCAGGAGGCCAACAGGACTTTGGCAAACGGTTTGCCCCCAGAGAGTGCTGCAGGGGCAGGTCCCACGTCCCCTTGGAAGGGACTTCTCCGTCCAGACCCTGGCCCCTGGCAGCTGCCCCTCTGGGCTCCAGGTGTGCCGAGCGGGCAGCAGGGGCCGCCGGGCACGGGCAGTGGCTCAGAGCCTTCTGCAGGAGGGTCTGGATGTCCTCGTGTCGGACCCGGGCCTCCTCCCACAGGTCCCGGCCCAGGCCCGGCCGGCTCAGGGAGGCCACCTGCAGCCCCATGGCCGCAAGCTTCTCAGCGGGGAACTCGGACGCCAGTCGCTGCAGGTAGCGGCAGAGGCGACGCTGGTCCCCAGGCCTGGCCCTTCGGCCCTTGCCCAGCCTGAGCTGGGTCATCAGGTCCTGACAGTCCAGGTGGAACCAGGTCATCTGGGGGACAAGAAGAGAGGGAGGAGGGGGCTGAGGCTGGGAGTGGAATGGTGGGGGCTCCATGGGGACAAGGACGTGCGTCTTGGAGTGAAGAGAGGCTTCGATGAGTGAGCCCTGCCAGGCCGAGCTGGCAAGCGCCCAGGCACCGTCAGGGCCCGCTCAGCTTGGCCTCAGCTTTCTCCGCTGACCGCGGTGACAGTGATTTCCTCTCTCCCCGGGGTACGCGCACCTGCCACCTGGAAACAGCCCCCAGCACCCTGAGCCTGTTCAGGCACCTTCTAATAGCCCTGTGGGCCAGTCAGGACTTGCCCCCCTCTGGGGCTCAGTTTCTGCTTCTGCGGAGTGGGCGTGGCACAGATGACCATGAAATGCCTTTTGAGAGCTGAAAATCTGGATCCGTGCATTGTGTTCACCCCTACGAGTGGTGCTCAGTCTGGCTAACGTTTACTGAGCGCTGACCGTTTGCCAGGCTCTGTGTGTCTCGTGTCCAGTCACACCGAGCTGTGCCGGTGTGTCCATTTTGCAGAGGAGGAAACTAAGGCTCAGAGAAGTGAAATCACTCGCCCCAGGTCACACAGCAAGTCAGGGAGGCGCTGGGATTCTGCCTTGGATCTATCCTGCTTCCGGGCGAGTGTCCTCCAGGCACAAGGAGGAGAAGCTGGCCCAGACGGGGGAGTGTCACAGGGCAGTGACACAGTCGGCCATGCCAGGCCCTGGACCCCCTCACTCCAGCCGGGCCTCGGCCCCATTTTGTGATTCTGCCTGTCCCCCCTTCCCCCACAAAATGTCGCAGACGGCGAAGGGGCCAGCGCGTTCCCAGCAGCTCGTGAGAAACATAATCTTTCTCCCCATTAATTTAGAGCCCGACAGCAAGCTGTTAGGCGGTGGGGATTGGAGAGCCATTTTCTCCGAAGAGACCATCTTTCCCTGGATTAAGGGAACTTGTCTTTAGATAAATGGCTTCATATTCGCGGAAGCACACGGAGCTCATGGCAGGGAAAGGGCTCCATAAATCTCCGTTAGCGGCTCAGTCGTGTTATTATTATTTAGTAGCACACTGTCGCGCCCACGCTCCCCGCCCGGGGCTCGGCCCAGCCCCGTGCTGTCCTGCGTGTCTGTCTGTCTGTCTGTCTGGGACTCGGCCTTATAGGCCAGCCTGGACAGAGACGGACAGCAGCTCAGAAATCGCCCTGCCCAGCCCCTCGTGCAGACTGAAATTCAGAGCCACGCAGGAGTTGGCCGGGGAGGGACTCAAAGTCAGGGCCACCACCTCCCACCGTGTGATTTCTAGGCCCGGCACAGACGCCACCTGCTCTCGGGCCACCCCCGCCCTCCCCCATCTCTCCTCGTTCCCTCCACTCTCGAGGCCAGTCATCCACAGAGCTCTCTGGCCCCGCGTGCCCGCCCTGCAGATGGAGCCAGCTCAGACCCCGCCCCTGCCTCGGGGAGCTCACCCCACAGGTGACATGCAGGGGACAAGCAAGTGACAAGCTCAGGATGATTTCAGATCTCTGTGAGCACCGAGAAGTGAGAAAGCAAGGCGGGGAGAGAGAACCGGGTGTGCAGCCAAGCCCTCGGGAAGGGTCTCCCTGAGGAGGGGACGTGGGAACCCAGATCCCAACAAGGGGAAGAGCCTTCCAGCCTGAGGGACCGGCTAGTGCAAAGGCCTCAGAGCTGGTGCAAGTTTGGTTAATCAAGGCAAGACCAGTAGGGCTGAAATTGGCCGAAAGGGAAGGAAAGAAGCTTCCAGATGCCTTAACAGTTGAGGCATTACTCTTCCTCTTCCTCTTCCTAATGATAATGATAATATTGGTGTTAACAATAATAACAGGCTGGGTGTAGTGGCTCACACCTGTAATCCCATCACTTTGGGAGGCCATGGTGGGAGGATTGCTTGAGGCCAGGAGTTTGAGACCAGCCTGGACAACATAGCAAGACCCCATCTCTATAAAAAAATGTAAGAATTAGCTGGGGGGGGGGGGCGCATGGTGATGGCACATGCCTTTAGTCCCAGCTCTGTGGGAGGCTGAGGCAGGAGGATCACTTGAGCCCAGAGTTAGAGGCTGCAGTGAGCTGTGACTGCACTCCAGTCCAGATAGAGTGAAACCCTGTCTCAAAATAATAGCAATGATAATTCCAAATTTGAGCAAAGCCCTGAACGAGGGGTTCCTTCCATTTAATCTAATTCTCTCACTACCTGGCAAGGCTGGCACTAGAGCCAGATGATCTGAGTGTGAACCTCAGCTCTGCCACTCTGCTAGCTGTCTGACCCTGCGCGAGGTATCTGACTTCTCTGTTTCCTTATGTGCAAATGGGCATCATCACAGCACCTGCCTTCTAGGATTGGTGTGACAATGAAACGACCTGTGAAATGACTAGAACAGGGCCTGGCGCACACTAAGACTTACGGAGCCATTAACTCTTATTATTATAGGAAGCACTGTGGTCTTGGCCACGCGGCCACATGGTCACGCAGGCCCACGAGGCCCCTGACTATACGTCTCAGATCCGCCTTTCTCTTGCTCCTGACTTCATAGAGCCGGGACTAGGGGATCCCTTGGCTGCCACTGCCGACTCTGCCTCCCTTGTCTGCTGCCCCAAGGAGACCGAGAGTGTGCGTCCTCCCAGGGCCCCAGGCGTGAGCTGACCGGAGTCCCTCCTGCTGCCCTCTGGGGCTTCCTGTGTTCTCTGTCGCCTGCTTGCCGGGCCGGCCTGACAGCTGGGGGGCTCGGGTCAGGCTCCACTCACGCTCTGTCCTTAGTGCTGAGTGTGAGGGGCAGCCATGTGGGCCCCCGTCCCAGCTGGGTCACCCTCTCCCAGGCTGCTCCCGTGTCCCCGTGGGCCTCAGTTTCCCCATTAGAAAAATGAGGGGTTTGGCTTCCTGGATCTGGAAAGTGTAGGGACTCTTATATCAAATGCTGCTTGACCACTGACCCTCTGGGCAACCTTGAGCAAGTCACTTCCCTCTCTGCACCTCAGCCTGCTCGTGCTGGTGCCCTTCCTCGTGGGGACGTGGTGAGAATGACGGCAGGTAAGGCACGGCGTGACCCCCGCAGGAGGGCCTGGCGCGGAGCACACGCTCGGTGACGTGGGCTGCCCTCCTGCCAACCCACCCATCACCTTCGCGTCATCCGCCTGCTGGATGCAGGAGACTGTCGCCTTTGCCTCCCGCTTTGGAGAAGGACGTAGGGCACCTCGGCACGGGCACACCCGCGCTCAAATCCCAGCTCGCCCCCTTCCCGCTGCCCTTTACATGAGTCGAGCACAGAGCCTCGTGCTGTGTCCAGGCCGCTCTCTGTCCCCACTCCACCTCCAGCCAAGGGGCAGCGGGGCCGTGCGGCCGGGCCACAGGGCTCACCTTCTTGCAGAAGCGGTGCAGGTGGAGCAGCGTCTCCAGGTCGGTGCGCTGCCGCTCGGCCGCCATGTAGAAGTGGGTCAGCCTGGCTTGGAAGGCCCGCTGGGTGGAGGCGAAGGCGGCCAGCTCCGGGCGCGCGGCTCCTCCTCCCTGCCCGGCCCCTGCGGCCGCAGCCCCCAGCTGGGCCGCCTGCTTGGACAGCTCCAGGCCTCGGCGGTACTGGGCCTGGGGGGGAGGGGGGGCCGTCGCTGAGCTCCCACCTCGGCTGGGGCCTCCCTCAGAGCCCAGGAACCTCCCGCTGCCCTGCGGCTGAGACTTCCTGAGCCTCAGTTTCCTCATCTGCAAAGTGGGGACCCTCCTGGCACCTCCTCCCAGGGCTTAGCTCGTCATGAGGAAAGTCTCCCGGCCTTGGCCTTGGCAGTTCACTTTGCCCAGGCGGACTCTGCTTAGGCGTCACTTCCTTCTGGAAGATGCCCTGACCCCCAAGGTCCGGGTGAGAGGCCCCTGTTCTGAGCTCCCACAGGTCTCCCTCTCCGTGTCCCTGGCCTGGGAGTTTCCTGAGCCCCAGGGCCCCCACGTCCCCGCGCAGCTTCCCCACCCTGCTGTCCGAGGCTGACTCAGTCAGTCCAGGAGGAGGCCCTGGAATCTGAAGTTTAAGAAATCGTCTGGGAATTCTGAATATTCTTTGGGCCTCGCTCTGGGAGGGCTTCCTGGAGGAGACAACGCCTCAGCGGAGCCCTTGTGGTCCACGCTGGTCTCCTCACTGATCTGGAAGTTTCCTTGCACTTCCCCACCTCCACATCTGTGCCCTGGCAGTGCCACCCCCCCAGTGCCCTCGCCATCTGCCCCAGTCCCAATCCTCGGGCTCCCAGAACGCACCGCAGCCCGGAGGAAGAAGTCCTCGAACTCCACGTGGGCTTTCTCCACCGCGTCCAGACTCCCGTCCTTGGGCGTCAGCGCCTGCAGGCACCGGCTTCCTTCCTGCTCCATCCAATCGCCGACCTGGGGCACGGGAGGGAGGATCAGACACAGGCGCTGCTGGGGACTTCCCCTTCGCCAGCCCCCCAGCCCCCACCTCCTTGGAGGCCGAGGCCTCCTGTCCTTGGTCATTCGGGCCTGGACCACTGGCCTGGACCGAAACTTGGGGAGGGTGAGTGCAGGGTCACAGTCTTAAATATCCAAGGGAGAAAGGACCCCAGAGGGCGTGTGGCCTGGTCAGCGCGCTACACATAGTAGGCCCTCAGTGAACACTGTTGTCTGAATGAAGCCATGGCGTGGCAAACATCAGCAACTCCAACCTCTCAGTGCCACCAGTCATGAAAGGCACGGCCTTGAGGACCGCTGGAGCCCGGGAGTTGGAGCCTGCAGGGAGCTGTGATGACGCCACTGCACTCCAGCCTGGGTGACAGAGCAAGACTCTGTCTCAACAAAAAAAAAGCGGGTGACGAGCTCCCTGTCAGGGCGTGGGGGTGTGCAAACAGTCTGGAGAAAAAGCTACAGGCAGGACAGGAAGGTTGGCGGGTCACTGCGAACTCATTGTGCCACTTCCCCTTTCTGGGCTCTCAGTGGCAAGAGGGAGTGGACGTGAAGATGCAGGGGACAGGGGGTGTCAAGTGGCTGAGTCCCACAAGCGAATGTCCTCCTCTTATTCCGGGGTGTCTTAAAGAGCACATATTAACTCGCTTTATGCACACAGAGCCCAGCGTAGCAGGTACTAATATTATGCCCCATTCAACAAATGAGGAAACTGAGGCACTGCATGGTTAACTTGCCTCGCCCCACACCTCCAGTGAATGCTGGAGCCGGGACTGCAGCCCGGCCGTGCACTGTGTTCCAGGGCCTCAGGCTCAAAGGGACACGTCAACAGTCAGACAACGCAGTGCCCTGCACGAGTTCCGGAATCAGATCCCAGGGATGCAATCCTGGGCAGGCGACATAACATCTCCCAGCCTCGGTTTTCTCATCTGTGCAGGGGGTGAAATCCTAACACCTTCCCCACAACGCTGGTAACACATGAAGTTGGAGAGTAATGATGTTCTTAAAGACTATGGCCCACGGCTTGGCACACAGTTGGTGCTCAATAAGTGCAGCTCGATAAGCGTAGCTCACCCATTGAGTACTTACCGAGTGCCATGGCATGTGCTGTGCCCCAAGGATGCCTGCCTGGCCCTCCAAGCACTGCCAGGCTAGTGTCCTTCCCCCTGGCCAGGGCTGGGCCTGGAGCAGTCGGGCAGCCATGCAGAGCCCCACGGCCCAGGCCTCCCCCTCACCTGGTGGATGGCGGCCTCCAGGTGGCCCAGACGGACGCGGAGCTCCAGCCTCCCCAGGAGGTCGTTGGATGCAGTGACCAGGACATGAAGCTGCTCATCCACAAGGCTGTACAGCGCGGTGGCTTCAGCCAGATGGCTCCTGGGAGGAGTAGGAGGCTGAGAAAAGGCCCGTGGTGCCCTCCTCACCCCCCTGTGCCCCTGCCCAGCAGTGGCCGCCCCCCAGCTCTGTGGCCCCCGCCTGGGTTTCCAGCTGCTGACTTGCTGTGTGACCTTGGGCAGGTCCCTACACATCTCTGGGCCTCAGCCTTGGCCTTCTGTGGGACTGGGAGGACCAGAGGACACAGCAGGAAGTGAAATGACCCTCCCCCTTTCCTAGGAGGATGGGAAGCCAGCTGGACAGATCTGGGTTCGAATCCCAGCCCTGCTGCCTTCTAGTATGAGACTTGGTGCGAATTTCTCAACCTTTCTGTGTCTCTGTTTTTTTATCTATAACGTGGGGATGATAACAGAACCCACTTCACAGAGAGGTTGTGAGGATTAAATGATATAACACCGCAGCTCTCAACCCTGGCTTCACATTGGAACCTGACCGGCGAACTTTTAAAAATCTCAACGCCCTTACCGAGTGGCAAGTTGGTAAAAAAAAAAAAAAATCTCAATGCCCAGGCCCTACCCCAGGCCAACTAAGCCAGACTCTCTGAGCAGAGCCAGACATCAGACATTGGAGCTTTCTAAAGCGCCTCTCTTGCCCGCGAAACAGCCAACACAGCGCCCGGCACACACTTGCACACACTTCGTCAGCACTTTCTCCTCCCAGTGCAGTGATGGGGAGTAGCTGCCACACCCCTCCACCCCGCGCCTCCATTTTGCAGATGGGAAAACTGAGGTCCGGGGAGAGGAAATGACTCTCGCGGATGGCAGTTTGAGTTGGAACCCAGCCAGGGTTGTTTCTGCATGTAATTTTTTTAAATGGCCACAGCCGCAAGACACACAGGAAGGGGTGTGGGTGGGATTTCCAGGCCTGGCCATACTAGAGTGAAGGGAGGATCTCACATTCCACCCCCTCGCCTCTGCCCTGGAGGAAAATGAAACGGAGGACGGAGACAAGCTTGCTTTCCTGGAGGGCGCCCCGCTCTGCCCGGGCCTCCCCAGCTGGCTGCAGCTCCCCACAGGTCGCCACCCTTCCCGGAAGGGGTGAGGACCCAGGTTGCGTAAATGGGATAGAAAATGCCAGCCCACTTGGGGGCGGGCAGCGAAGGGAGCGGGACTGGCGGGCTGCGGGCCGTGCGCACAACAAACACGGGCAGCGGCTCTTGTGGGCCCACAGTGCCCCCTGGTGGAGCTGGAGGGAACTAAGGTGGACCATTGGGGCCTGGGCTGGGCAGGTGAGGCGGGGGCGGCTGGGAAAGACAGTGCCAGCCCCACGCGGCACTGCAAGGGGAAAGGGGATGACCCCACATCCCCTGCTGTCAGTGCTCCCACCGTGTAAACCATCCCTGAGTCTAGCGATGCAGCTCAGGGAGGCATGTTCAAGGTTCTGGGGCCAGACGGCCTGGGTTCAAGTCCGGGCCCCAGCACACTCCAGCTGTGTGACCCTGGGCTAGTCACTTGCCTTCTCCCTGTGCCTCAAGGTCTGACACTGTAAAATGAGGATAACACCAGGATCTACCTCGGGAGTGGGAGTTAAGCGAGTTAATATTTGCAAAGCCCCTAGAGCGATGCTGTATACATACTAAGTGCTATTTAGGTGTTGCTTTGATAAACAAATTGTTCTTAAAAGCTTATGCAAACTTTGCACTTGGCTCCTGAATATAAGTAGCTGTGTTCTAATGGAGAGAAAACATTTTCAATTACTGACCAATTTAATGATTGATTTCCCCCACCCCCTAAATTTAAGAAGTTGGTTGGTACTTTCCAGGAATGTCCATTTTACTTACTCTATGCAATGTCCATTACTTACTCTATGTCCATTACTTACTCTATGTCCATTATTTACTTCTCCCAGCAAGACTGAGAGCCCACTGGGGAAGGCAGGGCCATGGGGGTAGAATGCTCAGATGACCTGGCTTCAAGTCCCCAACTGACCATTGCCAGATGTCATTTCACTTCACTGAGCCTCAGGTACCCAGCAGCCAGTGAGCGCGATGTGGTTCTCACTTGGCTCTTGCCAGAATAAATAAGACAGGCACGGTGGCTGATGCCTATAATCCTAGCACTCTGGGAGGCCAAGGCAGGCAGATCGCTCAAGGTCAGGAGTTCGAAACCAGCCTGAGCAAGAGCGAGACCCTGTCTCTACTAAAAAAAAATAGAAAGAAATGAATTGGGCAGCTAAAAATATATAGAAAAAATTAGCCGGGCATGGTGGCACATGCCTGTAGTCCCAGCTACTCAGGAGGCTGAGGCAGGAGGATTGCTTAAGCCCAGGAGTTTGAGGTTGCTGTGACCTAGGCTGATGCCAGCACACTCTAGCCTGGGCAACAGAGTGAGACTCTGTCTCAAAAAATAAAATAAAATAAAACAAGACAGGCCTTGAAGCAGCTCACCCAGCGTATGGGTCAGAGAAAGCACTTGGTCCATGAGGGTGACCAGAAATGGGCAGGGCTGCAGAGGGCTGGAGCTGAAGGAGGGGCAGCAGGGAAGAGATGAGGAACTTGCCAAGGCCAAAAGGGGGTGCCCACGAGCAGGCCTCAGTCTAGGATGCAGGTCCAGCAAATGCCACGATGTGTCCCCCTTGCTGGGGTGGCCCCAGCCCCAAGCTCCCAGGCCAGAGAACAGGATGGGAATCGGACAGGAAAAGCCTGGATGTCCGTACCTGACATCAGGGTTGAAGTCCAGCCTGCTGGCCTCGCGCCGCAGCCTGGCCAGGGTGGCTCCACCTTCCCGCTGGAGGCTTAGTAGGCCGGGGTCCCGCAGCACAGCCTCCATCAGTTCCTTGGACTTGCTTAGGCACCTGGTGGCCTCCTGCCAGCGTAGAGAGGTGCCCTGAGGCCCCATGCCCACTCTCCCTCTGCAACCTTCTAGGGCTCCCCACACCCAGATCACGCTTCACATCCCCAGTTAAGCATTCAAGGTCCTCCAGAAAGTCTGTCCTTTCTGTCTCTACCACAGCTCCTCGAGCCACTCCCTTTCTCATCACCATGGCAACCTCACTGGTCCCGGCTCCATCATCTCTTGCTGGGACACCCAGCCCAGCCTCTTCACTCATCTCCTTGCTGCCCTCTGGCTCCCCCTACAGTCTGCTCTCCACATGGCAGCTGAACGGATGTCAAGCTGCAAACCTGATCATTCCCCCCCAACCCCCACCCACCCCCGCTGCAGAGAGTGCAGTGGCTTCTCTGCCCACTTAGAACCGAAATCCAACCCCAATCCTCCTTGATCTGACTCCTGCTGGATCTAGATGACCCTCCAGTGCTTCTCTCCTTCTCCTTCCATCCCGCTCATTCTGCTCCACCTTGACCTTGCTATTCCCAAACGCCCCAAGCATAATCCCACCTCAGGGCCTTTGCACATATTGCCCTCTGCCTGGAGCACAGATGCCCTCAAAGTCATGCTCCTTCTCAAACTTCAGGCCTCAACTTAAATGTCATCTTTTCAGAGAGGCCTCCTTCCTTTCTCATTGTTCTCAATCTTACTTCCATGGCATTTGGCACGATTTGTAACTACGTATCCATTTCTTTGTTTGCTTTTTAAATGACTGTATCTGCCACTGCACCATGAGCCCCACGAGGGCAGGGACAAGTCAGTTTGCCCCAGGCTGGGTCTGCAGTGCAGGACACACCGTAGCTGTCTCCAAAATACTAGTCAAGGCCGGACGCGGTGGCTCACGCCTGTAATCCTAGCACTCTGGGAGGCCGAGGAGGGCTGATTGCTCGAGGTCAGGAGTTTGAAACCAGCCTGAGCAAGAGCGAGACCCCTGTCTCTACTATAAATAGAAAGAAATTAATTGGCCAACTAATATATATAGAAAAAATTTAGCCGGGCACGGTGGTGCATGCCTGTGGTCCCAGCTACTCAGGAGACTGAGGCAGGAGAATCGCTTTGAGCCCAGGAGTTTGAGGTTGCTGTGAGCGAGGCTGACGCCATGGCACTCACTCTAGCCTGGGCAACAAAGTGAGACTCTGTCTAAAAAAAAAAAAAAAAAATACTAGTCAAATGAATGAATGAAAAACAGGGATGATGACACACACCCCTGGCTGTCCCCTTGACCACATTCTTGGACCACGGAGTCTGGGGTGTGGTGTAGCTTCCCCGCCCCGGGCTCCAAGCTCACCTGCACCCCCTCAGGGGGGCCAGCCTTCTCCAACTCCTCGATGGACGCCCGTAGCAGGGAGGAGGCTTGACGGAGGTCAGCGAGGAAAGGGTCCAACTTCTGTAGGACAGAGGCCAGAGAGGGTGTCAGCCTGGGCCAGTGCCTCCCACCACCCAGGAGGACACTGGGTAGGCATAAGGCGGTGGTTCTCAAACTTCAGCTGCATCCGAATCAACTGGTTAAAACACAGACTTCTAGGTCCTACTGCTGAGTTTCAGATTCAGTTCCTCCGGGGCGGGGCATAAGAATGTGCATGTCTTACAAATTCCCGGGTGTTGCTGTTGCTGCTGGCCCAGGGCACCACACTTTGGGAACCACTGGTGTTGGGAATGAGAGAGGGAGAAGAAAGAAGGCAGGCCTGAGCCACCCCCAAAGCTGATGGGGACATAGTAGGGGGAAGGAAAGGAAGGGAAGGGGCAGGCTGGGCTTGGTGGACATCCTCTGCTGGGTCCCACTTCAGCCCAACCCCATCACTTACAAGCTGTGAGACCTTAGGCAAGTTACTCAACTTCTCTGTGCCTCTGCTTCCTCCTATCACAGTAGTTCCTGCGTTATAGGGTTATGCGAGGATTAAACAGATTAATTTGTACAAGGCACTTAGAAAAGAGCCTGGCATGTATAATACTGTTAGTCACCATCATTATCAGTTTCATATTCTGGGTCTATAGGTAAGATTTCCTTTAAAGGCAAATGGAAAAATATACAGGAAACACAGGGAAAAAAATACAGGAAAAATATATCCAGCAATCCCACTACTGGGTATCGACCCAAAGAAGTCATCATATCAAAAGATACCTGCACTTAGATGTTTTTTGTAGCACAATTCACAGTGTCAAAGATATGGAACAGACTTAAGTGTCCACCAATGAGCAGGCAGTCGTTGGACACTCATGCTGATGAGTGGAATAAGAAAATGTGTCGTATACACACATGCACCATGGAGTGCTACTCAGCCACCAGAGAGAACGAAATGATGCCTTTGCAGCACCCTGGCTGGAACTGGAGGCCGCCGGCCTCAGTGAAGCATCTTGGGAACAGGAGACCAAATAGTGCATGTTCTCACTTCTAAGTGGGAGCTAAGCCACGGGTGAGCGTGGCCACACGCGTGGAATAATAGACACTGGAGACTCCAAAGAGGGGAGGGGGGGCAAGGGAGGAAAAATGACCTCTTGGGTACAATGCACACTGTCCTCGTGAGGGGTACACTTAAAGTCCAGACTTCACTACTATACAGTATATCTGTGTAACAAAGCAGCACTTGCAGCCCCTAAATATATTGAAATGATCTTTTTAAAATAAAGTTAACATCCAGTTCAGAAGCCACTGGACTCATGGGAGGCCTCTGGAGAGGGAAACCAGGAGGCTGGGGGACAAGCAGGAAGGGAGACTTTTCAGGATATACCCTTTTGTGAGATTTGAATCCATTGCCTATTCAAATGCACAATTTGAAAAAGATCACATAGGCAAAAAGCAAATAAGCCCCCCCCCACCCCCGTTAGACTGTTAGTATGGACCTGGGGTTCTTCACAAGGGGTGACTTTGCCCCTGGAGACATTTGGCACTGTCGGGAGACATTTCTGCTTGTCGCCATTGGCGGGGTGCTGTCATAGAGTGGACAGAGGCCAGGGACGTGCTAATCACCCTACAAGGCACCAGACGGCTCCACCAAAACGGAATTACCAGCCCCAAATGTGAGCAGGTTGAGGCTGAGCGACCCTGGCCTGGAGAGGACCCTGGGCTGGCCTTTGTGGGCACTGGCTTCAGTGTGGATTAAGCCAACAATCTTCTGTGTGCTGCTGTGCAGCCCAACCCTGCCCTGTGTGTCCCCGTGTGTTAAACTGGGGACATAAAATGTCCCCTCTCCAGGTTGTGGTGAGGAGGGACTGCAAGCACGCAGGAGAGGAGCCCAGCACTGGCAGTGTCCTTCTTTCCTCCCTCTTACCCGGGGAGCACATCCGCCCCTCCCACCTGTCCCCGAGCTCCCGTGCTGGGCGGGTTCACAGAGCAGGTGCCTGTACATTTACTTTCAGGGAACATGGACATAGTTCTTAGCATGTCCCAGATACTCTTCTAAGCTCTTCACCCTCATTAATTCAATTTAATCCTTACAAAAAGCCCACGAAGAGGTGCTATTAATATTATCCCCCCGCCCAACCTGCTGATAAGAAAGCCAAGGCTCAGAGAAGGTAAGTAACTTACACAAGGTCACGCCACAGAGCTGGGATAGGAACCCACACAGTCTGGCCTCAGAGCCTGAGCTCGTAATCATTCCACTCTACCTTCAGTGCATTAATAAACATTTGTTGAATGTTTGTTTTTGAACCTGGCGGGTCGATGGGTCCACGGGGCAGGATAGGGAAGGGCGGAGGGAAGGCGTGAGGGTTGGGGTGGCAGGCTGTGACGGCAGACACCTGGAAGAATTGCACCCACTCGCTGTGGCAGTAGGGGAAGGGGCCTTCCAGGGCCGCGGGGAGCTGGTCGGGCTCCACGTAGTGGCCGAGGGCCTTCAATGAGGTCAGCACCTCCACCTGCAGACAAAAGAAGTAAATCAGGAGGACCAGGGACTCAGCGTGGGGACAGAGTTTGAGAGGGTCCCTCTGAGACCCCTGCCCTAGCCCCATTCCACCCCCATGGGCAAGGCTGACCCTGGCTCTAAGAGTTGCTTTGTGAGCAACCCGTCTTCTATGGAAGCTCCAGCAAATCAAAATTCAGAACCAGACCCTGGTTAAGGAATGGCATATAAACAGCACTCACACTGCCACTCTCCCAGCCTATGCCCAAGGCAGACATCATTAATCAATCATAGCACGTGTCCCCCCTGAGCTTGGCTGTTTCCCAGCATAGCTCTCCAGGCAATCACACACACTGATTGAAGCTGGCCCCTGTGATGAAACGTCTTTGTCCTCCTTGCACTGTTCTCTGGTGATCCACCAAGGGCTGTCTCCTTCTTGGAGCTGATGAGAAAAGTCACCAAATCCTAATAGTGTCCTCTAAGACATGGAAGAGGAACTAGGTGACTGCTTCTCCCAGGTAGTGAAGTTTAAGGTTAACTCTGGGAATAGCTCCAGATACCCAGGCTTGAGATTGAGTGGACTCCATGGTTTTACGGACCCATCTGTTGTCCGTGCTATGGGCCAGCAGCGCCAGCAGCACCTAGGAACGTGTTAGAAATGCAAAATCCAGGCCCAGAACACTTGATCAGAACCTGCACTTTGATGAGCTCCCCACAAGATTCATGGGCACATGAAAGTTTGAAAAGCACATCTCTAGCTCACAATGCACCTCTTTAACTAACCAGGAGGGAGAGGGAGAGCTTTTAGCTCACTTCCCGGGGCCAGGCAGAGGGCTGAGCGCCCACGCTCATTATCGTGGTATATGGCACCAATTAAAGGCAGCCGCGGGGCTCTTTCCTGCAAAGTCGCAAGTCAACTCTGCATCTATATTAATTAGGGAGAGAAATACAGGAAGAGCAGGTCCAGGCCACAGTATGGAAAAGGCACAGGGGCTGCCAGTCAGGCGACTCCAGCTCTGTGTCTAGCTTGCTGTGGGGCCTTATGCCTCAGTTTCCCCATCCGAAAAGAAAGGGGGAAGGGGCTGACTGGATGAAGCTTTTCAACTAGGTTCCGTGCCACGTGCAACACTCAATCACGGGGCAGCACCCACCGGGAGTTGCTAGGATTGCCAGGGAGAAATCATCCTGAGACTGATCGGACGACGCCTGCCACGGAGCAGGGCTGCAGAGTTGCCGCGCCCGGTCTCATATTTATTGCCTTACAGGAGATTATTCCAAAGCCTCTTCTAGCTCATGAATGCTGCAATTCTTCATCCCCTTCGCCCCGGCTCAGCTCAAGCCCAAAGCTCCCCTCCTGCACCGCGGACCTGCCTCCCCTCACCTGGATGCCGGGCAGAGCCTGCAGCTGCGGCGCCGCCTCCTTCTGCCCCAGGAGGAGGACAGCTCCCACGGAGGCCGGGACCCGCGCCTGCCAGAGAGAACCACTTCAGGGTTGCCGGCCACACCTTCACTGCGCCTGCCCACCCCTGTATTGCCTCCTCCTTCCCCTCTAAGGTGCAGGCAAATGGGCCGCAGGACAGGGTGGGGTGCCATCCCCCCAAGACTAGGAGCTTGGCGTGATGTGTTCAGATGGCGAATCAGCAGCAGGCTCAAGCTGTGTTGCAAATCTTTCTAGATGCCCCGCCCCTCTCAGCCTCAGTTTCCCCATCTCCAAAGCCAGGAGATCGGGCCATGAGGTTAAGCATATACCAAAGCTGCATTTACTCTGCTGCCCGCAGTGGCTGGTTGGGAATCTCTTCCCTCCTCCACTCGCAGTTCAAGAGGGTTCTGTGATCTGAGTCTAAGGCTGTCAGTGTGCCGCATTCCCCTGGCCACAGGGATTGGGTGATGGATGGACACCTGGACCAGGAGGGACCAATGCGACACAAAGAAACTTTGGCTGGGACCTCAGGGGGAAATTATCTCTCACTCTTTCCTACAGGATTTAAATGAGAGACCATGCGAAGTTGGAGCTGCTGGGAACCACGCTGCCACCCAGGGGAGGTGGGGGTGGCTCTCTGAGAGTGGGAGAACGGAGCCAGAAATGGAGAGAGGAGGTCGGTCCTGGTGACAGTATTTGAGCCCTGGATCAAGCCTTACTTGAAGCTGGATTAGCTCCAGGACTGTCGAGTTACATGAACCAAGGAGCATCCTTTTCCTTTAAGCCCGTTTGGGCTGGGGTTTCTGTTAGTTGTCATAAAAGTCCCTGCCTGGGAGCCCTGGTTCCAACCCTGAGCCTCCAGGGCTCTGTGCCTGTCAGGAGGCCCCGGTGGCTCCTGAGACTCTCCAGGCTGAGGCGCTCCACCTCCCACTCACCTGGGTGGCCTGCAGGGCACTGACCAGACCGGGCTGTGGGGGCTGCTTCCTGGCATCGATCACCACCGCCAGCCCCTTGGCGTTACCTTCAGGCCTGTGGGTGGCAACAGAATTGGCAGTCCAGCTGGATGGCCTGGGCTCCCCAGAGGGGGAGGACCCCGTGGAAGGCGACGGAAACTGGCCGCGAGAAGCCCTGATTTATTGGTGGATGCTTCATCCTGCAAGACCGAGTCCCAGTGCCGCCTCCGGGAAGCCCTCCTGACTCTTCTCCAGGCAGAGCCATTGCCCGACCTCGGGTGCTTCTGCAGTGCCTCCCACAGCCCTGCTCCCGCCCTAATGCTCCCGACTGCAGCCCCCACCCCGCTGCAGTGGGGGAGTCACCCGGCGCCCACCCACTACCTTTGTATGGGCAGAGCCTCATTTTGTTCAAGAACCCAGCCCCCTCCGGACAGCCACAGCCCCCAGGGACTGGTTTCCGCTTGGTTGAGGCCAGTAGCGATTCCATCCCCCTGGCTGATGATTGGCTTAGATGGGGGGGGGGGTCATGTGTCATATTTCAAGCCGAGGGGAAGTTGGGGGGCTTCTCAGAAAGATATTTGCTCTTTTAAAAAGTTCTTACAAACAGAAATAAGGCAGAGACACGGAACAATACATTTTCTTATCAGATAAAACATTCTGCATCAGAATGTCAGTTACTCGCAGCCCCAAACCCTCCCTGGTTCAGCCACCGCGGACGCGGCTGGCAGCGGGCCACTGTCTAGTGACCACCTTAGGGTCCCCAGAGCTGACCCCATTGTCAGGATTTGTTAAAATACCGATTCCTCACCCACACCCCAGCACCCCATCCTCCCAGACGGCTGGCCAGCAGGGCAGGGTGGGGCCAGGGGGCCGCTGTGGTTCCAGCACCCTTGGCCAATACGCTCACCAGGCAGGTTTGGAAAATGACCCCCAACTGCCTTCGAGCCTTACAACCACCCAGCTCATAGACGCAACCAGAGGGGGCCCAGCGTAGGGGTGGAGCTATGGCACTGCCATTAGTATCTGGTGGCCTGGGCAAGTTATTTCATCTCCCTAAGTCGGTTTACTAATAATAGCACTAGCCCTGTGGGGCCGTGGTGAGGACTGATGAGGTCACTAATGTAGGCACTCAGTGACTGCACAGAGTAAGGGAGAGGTATTAATAAATATTGGCTATTCTTACTATCCTAGAAGGGGAAACTGAGGCACAGAGTGGCAGTCGGTAAGAGGAGGCTCTAGGAGGTGACACCAGGTCTCTGACTTTATGTCCTCACCTGGCCCTGGCTCTGGCTGCGCTGGAGCAGTGATTTGTTTCCAGACCTCTCTCTGCCACAGCCTGGAGACCCCTGAAGGCCAGGCCTGGCGTGAGGAGCCTGTGGCCCCAGCGCCACACGGCACGAAGCGGGGCCCAGAGCCGGGGTCCAGCCGATGCTCGCCCAGAGCAAGGTGGAAACACAGCCCAGCACTCAAGAACCTAGTGTGCGCTGCACTCCACAGTTTACATCGAACCCTCCCCTTCGTCCCCACCACTTGGGACCCCCCTTGGTGTTCAGAGCCCACCTGGTCACCCCCTGTTTTCAGGTGAGCCTCAGAGAGGGGCAGCTACTGCCCCAAGGCCACATAACAAGTTTGCAGGATTCCAGGGCTCTGTCTGCCATGCCAGCCCCGGCACAGAAAAGGGGGCCCCAAATCCCCCTCAGGGCAGAAAAGCCACTCCACCTGGGACAAAGGCAAGAAAAATCTCAGTGGCCAGCAGGTGGCAGTGAAGGCTCCTGTGGGTTGGGGCTCCTGAAGAAGGTTCCAAAGGCTTCCATCCATCCCTTCCTCCTGCCCCCAGCGGCAGACCTCTAAGTTGGGATGGGCCCTGTTAGCCAGTCCCCAGTGACACCACCGCTGAGACTGCCCTGGCTGGGTGCTGGGTCCCAGAGGAAAAGACGGCGCCTCTTCCCCAGCCAGTCCAACGTGGGACGTCTGTGTGCTGGGGGGGGGGGGGGTGTCAGAAATCAGCCGGGTCACTCATCACCCACTCACACTCATTCTTCCACTCTCTCACTCGCTCATTCGCTCTTTCCTTTTGTTACTAAACAAATATTTATAATTCAGATGACAGCTCAATTATCACCTCCTCAGGGAAGCCTGCCCTGATTTCCCAGTTGAAATTAGCCGCCCCCCAACCCTTCTCACGCTCCAACAGTGGTTCTCAAAGTCTGGTCCTGGGCCCAGCAGCACCACCAGGAAACTTGTTAGAAATGCGGATTTCCAGTGATGTGTTTTAACAGCGCACCAGGTGAGCCTGATGCACGCTCAAGTTTGAGAACCACCGATCTGCAACATCCCGCTGTGTTCTTCACCCTCCTGCAAGCTGCTTGCCCGGGCTTTGTTTCTTGTGTACCACCCATCTCTCCCACCAGGGAGCTAGCCTGTCCTGCCTTCCCCAGCTGTGGCTCAGGACCAGCTCTGTGAACAGACGACTGGATGGAAGGGCGACAGGGCCTGGTCCAGGGTGCTGGGCCCAAGGGGTTGAGGTGGGAGTTGAGTGGTCAGGGTGACCCAGACCCTTACCTGGGAATGGTGCACAGGTAGGACAGCAGCTTGGTGACCTCCGGGGCTGTGCACCACGGCGCCTCCCAGGCTGCTTCTGCAGTGGACAGCAGAAGCAGGGGCCGCCCGGCCCTGTCCCGCCCGCCTGGAGGAGAGAGGGCACCTGCACGGTGAGCACTTTGGTGGGGACCTCCAGGAACCTCCTCCATGGCCTTCAGACGCTTGCCCATAATGGCTCCTTTGCCTGGAATGCCCTTCCTCTCTCCTTCTGCTTCTGTGAACTCGGCACTCTTACTGCCCCTCGAGACCCAGCTCACAGGTCACACCCTGAGAAGCCCTCCCCGAGTCTCTTCTCTGCGCTGAGCTGGCCTCCCCTGCTCCGGACCCCTCTGTGTAGGGCGCCCTGGGAGGAGGAGCTCATGGAACGAGCTCTAGGATCCCACAGACGGGGGCTCAAGTCCCCGCTCTATGCTGTCCCACTGTGTGTCCTTGGGCAAGTCAGTGCATCTCTGAGCCTCAGTTTCCTCATCTGTTAAATGGGGGGAAATATAATGAGCTTATTAGGTTATTTGGAGGATTAAGTCAGATAGTTCCTGAGAAGCACATGACACAGTGGGAGCTCAGTGCGTGGTGGCTGCTACCATGTCCTCATCTCTGTTCTCGTGGTGCGAGTGCAGCCCTGTGGCCACCAGCTCAGTATTTATTTATTCCTGCAGACTTGCAGGCGTGGGTTCTTGGGCTCTCGCCAGGAATCTGGGCTTTGTGCCTCGCTCTCCCCACAGGGGTCATGAGGGGAGGAGAAGGACAGCAGGGAGATGAGGCCCAGGCCTTGGCAACCGCGCCTGTCCTGCAGCCTGGCCGTGCGGCCCTGTGGATGGAGGGGTGGCCACCTAGAAATTGCTTTCATGGAATCCAACGCCTTCATTGGAAAGATGAGGAAACTGAGGCCCAGGGAGGCTTGGTCTGGACCCCAGGCCTCCAGTGCCTTCCCTGCCTCCCCTCCACCCACCAGCATCTGAGGATGCTCTGGGCCCCTCCAGCTCCCTCCCCTCCCCCTCCCCTCTCCCCTCTGATCCCCAGAACCTGGCAGGCATGCTATCCTGGAGTGGAAGACCTTGACACTCGGAGCCCCGAGCCTGGGCTCGGGCCCTGGGGGCTCCTCGTCCGGGGTGGGGCCCCTTTCTGGGGGGCCTGCAGAAGTTTCTGGAAAGCCAGTCTTTTCCCCAGTCAGTGGGGCTGAGTCAGCGGCTGGGCCAGAGGATGTTTGGGTCTGAGTTGTTCCAGCTGTGGGGAAGCGACAACAGAGAAAAGGATGTTGAGCAGAAGATGGATTTTCTGCGTGCAGAATGTTTCCGCTTCCACTCTATGGCTAAGCAGAACAGCTCACAGCCACCGCCCTCCGCTGAGCTCCCTGCTCCTGGCGTCTCTGGGAATCCTCAGAGCAACCCTGTGAAGCAGGTGAGACCCCCACTGCACAGACAGTGGGGCCTGGACTCAGACAGGTGAAGCGCTCGGCCAAGGTCACACGTGAACTCAGGCAGCTGTAGCACAGCACAGAGCCTTGCTCAACCCCAGACCTGTGAGACCTCGAGCCCCTTGACATGCGACACTGTAGTTTGAAATTGAGCCAGCCCAGGTGAGCCCCTGTCCCTTAACCAGAACCACCTGTAACCTGGTCTCACCCAGACAGCGATCCCCCTGCACGGCCAGCAGGTGCAGCCTACCTTTCCCTGGGCACCTGGCTCGGGCGGGTGGAGGAGAGTAGAGCGAGCACAGGGCTTTCCAAGGCCCGCCGTGCTGCAGGGAGGCTTTCTCTGGGGACACAGGGGACTTCCTCTGCCCTTTTAAGAATGAGAATTTGAGCCCAGGAGTGGGGGAGCTGGAGGAGGAGGTGTTTCCACTAGGGCAGGTCGTGGGCTTGGGAAGTCTCCCGTTTCCCTGCTTGGTCTTCTCCCCCATCTTTGTCTCGGGGACAGGAGCCGCAGGCGAAGCTGGGGACAGGCTGGGAGAGGAAGCTTGTCTTGGCGCAGGCCCGAGCTGGACCACATTCTCTGACTTTCCCAGAGGCCCCCGTGTCTCGGTGGCAGCTGGCCCTTCTGAGACATCTGCCCCAAGGCCAGAGGCACAGTCCGGCGGCTCCTCAAGGACGTTGGCATAGGGGCCTTCGGGTGCTGCCTCATGGCTGATGTTCCTCCTCAAGCCCCAAGTGCGGGGCTCCTCCTCGGAGCTTGCTGGCTTCACGCAAGCCCACGTTTCCAAGGATGGTCCTTCACTGGCCTCTGGCAGAGGCAGCGTCTTTGGAGAGAAAGGAACTTCCCTAGTTCCAGATATCTCCTCTAGTGCCCCAGAAGTGTACCCGCTGGAAGTCTCCACCTCCCTCCTGGGGCTCTCACCCCTTCTCTCTTGGGAAAAGTCCAGAAGAGCCACATAGTCTCCCTCCAAGTCCTGGCTGACCACATTGTCCGTCCCGAAGGTCACCTCCCCAGGCCTGGCTTGCTCTACCTTGATGAGGCCTGGATACTTGTTCCCATAGGTCCTGCCCTTACCCTCGGCCACACTCTGGGCAAGAAATGCCTGGTTGTCCGGGCACCTGGCCTGGTGCAGCTCTTGAGGGCTGCTCGAATCCAATGCCTCTAATTGAAGGGCCCCCCAGGCTGGGGAAGGGACATTCCCTGCTCGGGGCCTGTCATCCACAAACTCTGGGCTGGTTATCTTGGTCCAAGGGAGAGAGGCAATCCCATTTTCCGAAGCTACCAGGCAGTTGCACAGGGGACTTCCCTCAAAGTCGTCGTTGATGGCCTCCAGCCACTCTTGGGTGAAAAGTATAGAGTAGGAGGATTCGGGAACAGGCTTCTTATCCACCGTGCAGAGGTCCAAGGAGAGGCACTTGATCATGATGCAGACAGACTGCTCCTCCTGGGGCTCGACTTGGAGGTAGAAGTCACCTTGGCGCAATAACAGGGGGTTGAGGGGGGCCAGGTGGACCACAACCTCACCCCGCAGACAGAGCGGCCAGCCCTCGTGCAGGAAGAGGCAGTGAGAGTAGGGGGCCTGTGGAGAGAAGGGGGTGGCATCAGAGAATCTGGCCCCGCAAGACTCCATCCTTGGATCTGCTTCCTCTCTGCTCCCAGATGGAATCTTGAACAGGTCAGGGACGAGGTTGAGGCAGTAGTTGAGAGGCCCTCACTCTCAGGGTGGTGCAAAGGTCGCCTCTCTTGCCTCACCCTAGTCCCGGCCCTGACCTTGAAAATACTGGCTGGCCTGTCGGCCTAAGGGAGAAAGCTCAGAGCATCAGGCGCAGTTGGCAAGCACCCCCAACCCCACAGGAAGAGCTCTTGCTCCCTCCTCCCCACCTATCCAAAATGTCCCCCGCCCCAGCTCAGGGCTTGGCCCTCTATTTTAAAGCCAAGGAGACATGAGTTTGGACAAAGGTCTACACCTGTACGAAGTAACTTGTGCAAGTTACTTAACGCTTTGAGCCTCAATTTTCCTATCTGTAAATACGAACAATACATGTCAGTATTACTGGATTGGTATGAGGATTAAGTGAGATTGTACAGCTGCTCCTCAGTTTACAATGGGGTTATATTACATCCAGATAAACCTATCCTAGGTTGAAAATATCGTAAGTGAAATGCATTTAATACACCTAACCTATAGAACAATGTAGCTTACTTAGCCTAGCCTAGCTTAAATGTGCTGAGAGCACTTATATTAGCCTAAAGTTGGGCAAAATCATCTAACATAAAACATAAACCTATTTTATGGGTAAAATGTTGAATACCTCATGTAATTTACTGACTACTGTACTGAAAGTGAAAAACAGAATGGTTGTATGGGTACTTGATGTACAGTTTCTACTGAATGTGTATTGCTTTCACACTATCATAAAGTCAAAAGGTCATGATGTGACCCATTGTCATTTGGGGACACATACACAAAGAACCCAACACAATGCTTAGCATGTAATAGGTAGATGCTCGATAAATATTAATTCTCTCTCCCTTTGGCAACACTTAACCCTTTGAAAAATTGTGGGGGTTTTCAATTTAAAAAAAAAAAAAAGTAATTTACTGCTTTTATACCGTTCTGTAATTTTTAAGTAGAGGGGCTAAGGGTGAAGTAGAAACAATATTGAATGAGAAGTCAGGAAATTTAACCCTGACATTTATTTACTAGATGACCTTTCACTTTTTCCTGACCCAAAAGTCATGCTGGGCCTGAATGTTTACTATTTATTTGTTTATTATTTATTTATTCCCCATTAGTGGGTAACAGCATGGCAGGTGAGCAAAAGTTTTAAAAATTAAAAAGTGAGGGAGAGAGAAGATGCTAGCAATTCCTGCACAGGTGGACACAGCAAGTCATTCTAGAACAGGCTTTAACCCCAGCGAGCCCTCTCAGCTGAGCCTCTCCACTCGGCTGCACGGGACTGGAGCCCAACAGTGACACCATGTGGCAGCAACAGAAACAGCAGCTCCGCTGGGCTGACAATCGGTCTTTGTCTACCCAGCTTTCGGAAAGGAGTCTGAGTCCTGTGGGCTGAATAAATCCCAGACAATCTTACATATTAATAATTTGGATGTGTGAGTGGGAGGCCTCCAGAGAGTTATGCTGAACTTCCCACTAAATAAACAAGTGGTTCCTGGAATTATTAATCAAGGAAATGGTAAGATCTGCCCGTATTTGTACCCCACACCGATAAACCCATTCATAACAGTTATATTGGAGATTGTGCTGCCGCGGGAGGGCTTCCTATCTAGAAGCCTTCGGGAGCCTGTGAGTTCTTCCACCGCCTCCGCGCAGACCACTGTGGTTTGCAACATGCTTTACCCCTCACCTTCTCACCGGAGGAGAAAAAAACAGCCCGGCCATTTCCTTGCAAACAGCAAAGCACCCTAGAGACGACAGCTGTGATCATCTCGTCTGACTCACAGCAACTCAGGGGTGCAGGCAGCTCGGGTGCGATTACTCGGGCTTTCCAGATGAGGAAGCTGGTGCTCAGAAAGGTGAAATATTTGGCCCATAGACACACAGCTGGTAAGCGGCAAAAGCAGGACTTGCACCTAGGCCTTCACACTTGAAGTCTGCTGTGCCTGTTCCCTAGCCCCGCTCGATGTCATCGGAAGGTGGCTGCCTGTAGGTGACGGTGGCTAGAGCTGCAGACTTTGTGGCTGCCACCTTCTCCTTTCAGAGGGATAAACAAGGAAATGGGATCCTAGTAGCCAACGGTTACTGGGCACTTACTGTGTGCCAGGTTGTGCTAAGCCACGTGTCATTTCTGTGCACCAGATGACATGTTATCAACTTTCCCACTCGACACATAAGGAACGGGAAACTCAAAGAGGTGCCATGGATCTCCCAAGTTCATAGTGAGGAGGCTGGACCTGAGCCTGAGGCACCTGGCCCCAGAGGCCATACTGTTAATGCCACGTCACTCTCCCCTGCTCTGAGGGGACGCACATTTGCCTATAATTACAATTAAATTAATTTCACCTTTAAAAAAACATAAGGATGTGGAAAGGCTATGAGCTTGTCACTGGGAGAAGTGAGGAAGGGGGCAGAGCAAATGTGGTTTTAATGGCCAAATAACGGAAGTGGGCGGTCGTGTGACTTGTCAGGGAGAAGAACTGAGGACCAGGGAGGATCTCCACGAAATAACGCCAACCCGGCTGGGTGGAAGTTGGGTGCGGACATTCGCACGGGAAGCTCCCTTCTTCTACAGTACCAGTTCCCGTGTATCGAGCTGCTTCCGTGAGCCAGGCACTGCGCTCACCAAGTTACATGGATGATCTCACTTTCCTTCCGTTCCAACCACCTCCAATTCTGGTTCCTAAACTTGAACTCATAGCTGCCACCTTCTATTTCTTTCTACCACTGAAATGACACACACAGTCCCCACCCTTGCTTTGTGCCCTTGATGAGCTATGTCCCTGACAGGCATGTCCTGAGGGACTCGGGAAGGGCTGGTGGGGCCTAAGAACCTCTTTGTGTGTGTTGAGGCTGGCGTGGCGGGGAGTGGGCACTAAAGAACAACGGAGCACGGAACAGCCAGCAAACCTGTGAAAGGTATGGGCAAGCTCCTCTAGGGTGTGTCTCCGCAGGCTTCTCCCATCCTTTTCTTAAAGCTGTTCCACCCTCTGACCAGAGAGGTAGATACATGACTCAAGCCTGGCCAATCCTGGCACCCCATTCCTCTGGCCACAGTGATTGGTCCAGGAACAGACATATGACCCAAGTCTGGCCAATCAGGATTCTTCCCTGAGATTTTTTTTTTCTATCTGCAGCTCATGGGGAAGAGTTCATTTTCCTCTCCAGGGCAGGAGATAATCCTAGAGCTTTCCTGGGCTCCAGCCTTGGGGGAACACTTAGCCTGCAAGAATGATGCTGACAAGCAGAGAGAAGCAGAGACAACAGACAGACAGTCTCCGAGGGCTTTGATCAGTGGATCAACTCGGGTCTGAGGCCTGATCCCCCTGGCCTAGTCTGTCGTTTGCAGCCAGTGAGTCCTGCCTAAAGCAGTTTTCTCTCCACTTTGCTGCAGGAGAGGCTTCCTGGAGATCTGAGTTTGAAGGGGATCACCGGGGGGAAAGCAAGAGTCCTGATGCCTCAGGGGCCTCCAGGGAAGCTCTGGGACATTCTCTGCTATGGCCACTGAAGCTGCCCCACTTGAGCCAAGGCAACATGGTGACACCAATGGTGCCAGCCCCAGGGCAGCCTCCCAGGGCCAGGGTACCCCCAAAAATGCCGCTATTCAGGCCTTCCTCCCTGCCAGTGAAAGTGCAAATGTAATTGACTCCTAGATGTCACAGGGGGAAAGGCTAAGTGACCCTCCTGCTCCATTTGGGGGTGCTCATGTCTCCCTCTGGGCAAACAATGACATTTGAAAAACCACCCAGACCCCAGCTGTTCCTGGGAGACAAGACACACACCGGCCCACTTCCTTCCCTGCTTGCCTCCAGCCCTGTGACTTCTGGGAGAGCTTGTCCCCTGGCCCCATGTCCCTCCCGACTTACACAGGCTGCTTCACGCACTTGCTCACACAGGCGCTTGGCAGGGGTCAGGAAATCCAGGAGGAAGCTCAGCCCGTCCCCCTGGAAGTCAGAGTCCAGGAGACGGAACACCTGACCCAGGACAGTGGGTGCCGTGGCCTCAAAAGGAGGATAGAGGCCCGCCAGGGCGTGCTGGATGGCCGTGTCCAGGGACAGGGGGTCCTGCGGGGGACAGAAGGAGAGGATGAAAAGTAACAGGAGCCACAATAGTGGGCGTAGTGCCTACTTCCTGTGACTGCCCAGGCCCCATGTGATGAAGGCCTCTGCTAGCTCTCTGTTCTCTCCACCCTGTCCCCTCCCTCACCCCTTCCAGCCACACTGGCCTTCTTTCTTGGTCCTCAAACACACTAGGCACGGTCTCACCTCAGGGCCTTTGCACTGGCTGTTCCCTCTGCCTAGAATACGCCTCCTCAAGACAGCCTCGTTCCCTTACCTCCTGCAGGTCTCCGCCCAGGTGTCATGGGCTGGTGCAGTGAGGGGTGGAGCAATGCAGGGAGGCACTCAGCTCAGGGGCAAAGGGGAAGAGGAGGTCAGCACCACCCAAATCCCGCCACCTGGCTGACCTGCAGACCCGCTGCAGGAAGCTGAGCCACCATAGAAGCCCAGCCTGGTTCAGACACCCCCAGTCCACACGGAGATGGATAGTGATAGTAAGTGATTGCCATTTTGTAACACTGAGTTTTGGGGTGGTTTGTTACACAGCAATAACTGCCCGGTACAAGTCCAGAGAGCCTCCTTGCATATCCAGCTGCCTCTTGGTGCCTCTTTCTAGCTGTTTCTCAGGCACCGGCCATCAGCACATCAAACCCAACCCGGCAACTCCCCAAATCTGTTCCTCTCCTTGTGCCTACCAGTGACGGCCCCACCACCCAGTCAGGCTTCCAGGCCAGAAATCTGCTCGGCACGCTGCCCTCCCCGCCTCGGACGCACAGCACGCCTAGTCCTAGACTGCTCCTCCCACCAACAGCTCCCCAAGCACGGGCTCTGCTCTGTCCCTGCTCTGCCCCGACCCCAGCCCCCACCATTTCTCCCGTGGGATCCCCTCCTCTTTGGCTGCCACCCTCTAGTCCTCCTCACACCAGCCACTGTCCTCCAGGACCCCAGGGTGACCTTTCTCAAAGGCAAACCTGACCTCACCCGTCTCCTGCTCAAGGCCCCTCAAGAAGCACCGGCCTCCAGGCGTCCTCCGCCCTGGCCCTGGCCCTGCTCTGCCACTGCCACCGCCCCAGCCTCTCCGCCTCCCTCCGTGCGCAGCCGCAGTGGCACGTGCCTTCTCTGGCTCGCCCCGGGCCTCCACCTGTGCCTTCCATTCCATCCCTCCTCCCCTGCCAGCTCCTCGCTCTCCAAGACTCAGGTCAGCCCTCGCCTCTTCCCGGAGGTTTCCTCCGACCTCCCACTGCCCCCAGCCAGCGGGGCAGGTGTCCCCTTCTCTGGGCTGGGACAGCGCCCCTGTCCTAGCAGCTCCCACGTGGATTACTGTCTCCCTCGGGGAACTCCATGCTCCCCAAGGGCAGCGGCAGTAGGCAGAGCGGCCCTCAAAGGTACCCACATCCTAGCCCTGGAACCTACGACGTGTCACCGTGCACGGCAAGAGGCACGAAGGTTGCAGGTGGAACGAAGGTTGCCGATCAGCCGGCCGTGAAACGGGGAGGCTATCCTGCATTGTCCAAAGGGGCCAGGGCAACCCCGAAGCAGAAGGGGATGCGGAAGAGGCCAGAGTTGGGGAAGCGTGACTACGGAAGCAGGATCAGAGACACGCGGCGCTGCTGGCTTGGGACATGGGGAAGAGCCAAGGGACGGGGCGTCGCTTGGAAGCCGCGAAGGCCGGCAAACGGATTCTCTCCCAGAGCCTCCGGGAAAGAGCACAGCCCTGCCGAGCCCTTGCTCTCAGCCCCGCCAGCCCTGTGTTGGACTTTTCCCCTATTTATTATCTGCAAGATAGGGAGTTGGTGTTGCTTTACACGACTAAGTCTGTGCTGATTTGTGACACAGCGACAGAAAACAAACACAGCGGACAGCAGCACCTACTCCTCTCTGAGTCCTCGGTCCCCGGCGTGGCGCCCAGCACAGCATGGGGACTCGGGAAACGCTGTGAAAGAATGAGGCCACGGCCCTCTCTGAGCTACGGGTTTTCCGTTTGTCAAGTGGGCACGTCGGACAGGGCAGAGGTTTCCAAGCGAGTGTAGTCCTGGGTCCGTGGGCCGTGGGCCTGGACGGGGACGCCCCGGACGGGTTGCAAACTCTGAGTGCATCTGTCGCTGGCGGGTGCAAAGGGAGATGACAATAAATAAAGACTCGGCCAGGCGCGGTGGCTCACACCTGTAATCCTAGCACTCTTGGAGGACGAGGCGGGAGGATCGCTCGAGGTCAGGAGTTCAAAACCAGCCTGAGCAAGAGCAAGACCCTGTCTCTACTATAAATAGAAAGAAATTAATTGGCCAACTAATATATATAGAAAAAATCAGCCGGGCATGGTGGCACATGCCTGTAGCCCCAGCTACTCGGGAGGCTGAGGCAGGAGGATCGCTTGAGCCCAGGAGATTGAGGTTGCTGTGAGCTAGGCTGATGCCACGGCACTCACTCTAGCCTGGGCAACAGAGCGAGACTCTGTCTCAAAAAATAAATAAATAAAGACTCAACATAGAGGGAGTTTACTGAGAAGGGAAAAATCATTTCACAAATGGCAGGGAAATGAAACTGGGACTTTGAGGAGGAGGGGATGGCATTTCTCAATCCCAGCAGGATTCCAGCACCAGAAGGCTGGAAACAGAGGAACAAGGCTCGCTCCCACCTGTGGCCCACGCAGTGCTCAGCACGGGCTGGGCGGCCATCGCTGTTTCCAGAAGGAATGAACAAATGAATGTGTGTGGCCGCGTTCTGCAGGGAAGAGGTCCCGGCACTGCCATGGCGGGGACTGGGCAGGGCTGACGTACCGACAGGCACTTGGTGCAGAAAGTGCTCGTGCCCGGAGGGGCTGTTCTCACAGCGAGGTGGGGAGGGGGGTCTACAGCTTGGCAGAACAGAGAAAGGCTCCTCTGGCCCAGGGTCCTCTTCAGTCCTCCCAGCCCCCAGCCACCAAGGTCGAACCCCGAGGAGTCCCATCCCAAGCAGTCCAGGGACGGCAGTGGGAAGGGGACAGGGGATTGGCGGCCCACAGGTGACACTGGTGAACACAAACGCGCTCTGAGCCAATTGGGCCGCACCCCGCCCCTCCCCCGGCACTCGCCCTCCCCCGGCACTCGCCCTCCCCGCCTCTCCCGCCTCTCCCAGACAGGGGTGCGTCTGGCTTTCTCCCCACTCTGCAGCCTCCAGTATTTTTTATTTTACTGTTTCATTTTTTACAGAAATAAACTACTTTTTAAAAGAAAAGTAAACAATGAAAACGAAGAGTGTCATTAAATTCTGGGGACATCTGGTCACCTCCTGGAGACTTGGGAGGTCCTCTCTCTTTCTCTCTCCCAAATGGAGACTGCCACGCATTATGAGAAAGACATTAGAGACATCTTACCCCCAGGGGAAGGCTTGGGCCCACAGAAGATCAGAGAATTCAAAAAGTGCTGACTCTCTCGCCACGTGGTGCCATGTCCTTCAGTTCCATAGCTTGTGTCCTAACTGTGGTCTGCACCCCAACCTCCAGGAAGCAATGGGTAAAACTATCTCTGTCTTGGCCTGCCTCAGTTTCCCCATCTGCACATAAACGGGGATCTAGTTCCCACCCTGCCCCACTCAGATGATTGTCCTAGAAATACAGGAGGTGATGGCCATAGAGGGTCTTGGGAAAAGTAAAAGGTGTTGCTGCTGCTGTTATTGTTATTTATTTTTACTCATCCATCAGACAAAGGTCAAGTCCAGGCTTCTATGTGAAGATATCAGCCATCTCGCAGTCCCTTCCTGAATCCACTCCCGTCACCCAGGCAGCTACTGCATACCAGGCCCGCTACTCACATTCTCTTGCTGAGCCTACTAATGATGTTAAGGGCTAAGCAGGAACGGCCATTGGCTGGGTGTGGTGGCTCAGGCCTGTAATCCCAGCACTTCGTGAGGCTGAGGTGGGAGGATCACTTGAGGCCCGGAGTTCGAGACCAGCCTGAGCAACATAGCCAGACCCTGTCTCTACGAAAAAAAAATTTTTTTTTTGATTAGCCAAGCGTGGTGGTATGCTCCTCTAGTTCCAGCTACTGGAGAGGCTGAGGCAGGAGGATCACTGGAGCCCAGGAGTTCGAGGCTGCAGTGAGCTATGATTGCATCACTGCACTTTTAGCCTGGGTAATAGAGCAAGACTTTGTCTCTAAAAAAAAAAATTAATGGATAAGAAAGAAACTGAGGCTGGTCTTGCCCAAGATCACAGAGAGGAGGAGAAAAACAGAGTTGGGATCCAACCCAGATCTGAGCCAGCCACATCCGCCCTCCTTGCCTGTCTCCTGCTGCCTCCCCTGCCTGGGGGCCACCAGCCTGGGGACTGGCCCGCCCAGCTGCCTCCCCTTCCCTGCTTCTAGCCGGGCCTAGAGAAGCTGTTTACCCCGCGCAGAGCAAGGCTCACAGACTGCGGCGGCCTTGGCTTCCGCAAAGCTGGCTCAGTTTGCCACACACTGTTACCATTTAAGGGGCAGCCAGAAAAAAGGAAGAATGTTCCCAGTTAACAGGACTCCGCGCTCTTGGCCAGCACATTACCTGCTGCAGGCCTGCACCCTGGGGACTCATAAGCTGTCCCAGAACTCAAGGAAGCAGCACACGGTGAAGGGGGCCCTGGAGGCTGCAGGAAGGAACACGGGCCACCCTTATTCCCGATCAACCGGGCAGCCCAGCCTGGGACCACAGGAACCCAGCACCAGACAGGGGCCCTTCCAAACGGTTCCCGTGAAACTTAATAGACGTGTTTCCATTCCCTCCCGGTGAGCGCGGCCTGGCCTGGCTGGGCCTTTCATTGTTCCTTGACAGGGGCCAAGGCTGGGAAGGAAAGAAGGGGAGCGAGCCCGTGCCCCCCTCCCCTGCACCCAGCGCCAGAGAAGGAGCCCACCAAGGGGACAGGCAGAACCGGTCCGCACTGCTGGTCCCTGCAGGATGCTCCTGACCTTCTGGACTGACATGGGGAGCCTTGTATGCTGCCAAGGGACATGGAAAACTGTCTGTTCACCGGGGTTATGTCTGGGCAACGTCCTTGC